TCTTAGTTTTATTTTAGTCCTTTATGTATGAATATTTTATATAATGTAGTTATTTGTGAACATATATATTATTGGCTCTAGATTGTACATGTTTTATTTTGTTTTTTTAATCGTGCTTATTTCCTTGGTTTCATTTATTTGTTAATATTATTAGAATACTTTTAAGAACACGTATGCGAAGAATGAGCGTGGAAAGTATCACTTGGTCGAAGTGGTACGATCCGATACGGCATTTTAACGACATAGTAACTTAAAATAAGTTGAGTATATTTTGTTAATTTGTGCAAATGATGCAATGTGAGTCATTTTAAGTAGTAATTTATTTTATTTTATGTAAATGTAAATTTCAAAATTTTCATTTATATTCGATTCGCATATTTATCAATGAGGGAATATTCTTTTATTAACTAGAAATAGTCGAGTTAGCTTTCCTGATGGAGGATTACTAATTTCGATATTTCTTTTCGAGTTAAAGAATTTTCTGTAATTAATTTATTCGAAATAAATTGATTAAATTTCAATCAAAGGATCACATCTTAATTTTTATATTCGATTTGTAATTTCTACCATTACGACAATGTGTAAGCGACACAGTACCAGTTTTTGGGCGTTGTGGGGTGTTAATCCTTCCCTACACGTAACCGATTCCCGAATCCATTTAATCGAATCTTTGGTGACGCATACCAAATTTTGTCTTATAAAATGATTTTTTTTTAATTGTTTTAAAAGACGTTTTTAGGTATTCGACCTACCTAACCTAAAGGTCGATGGCGACTCTTTTCAATTTTATTCAAATCAATTCAAAATCACCCAATCTTTCCAAATTAAAGTCATAATTGTTTTTAAAATAATATTTAATTGTTTTACAAAAAAAATGGTTATGACAGTCACATTGACTTTTCAAACCTTGACACTTAAAGAAAAACCCCGGGGAATTTAAAACTTGTTTAAAACTAAATACTTTAATTTACATAAAAAAGCCACAAAATACAAACTTAATCAGAGTACTCATAATTAACGACTTATTACATGCCAACACTCTATACATAATAAAATACATACTTTGTCGATTACTTCTGATCTGATCTTCTAGTAATAATACTGTCCTTGCCACTTCTATTCTTACTCTTCACGTTTCTTGGTACCTACGTGTAAATCACTTACACACTAAGTCATAGACTTAGTGAGGCAATAAATAAACATGTAACAGTAGATTCATGAAAAAGCATTCTCTTACCATTTGATCATGATATTTCAATATGCATGGATATATTTCATATGACATATATAATCAAGTCATGCACACATGAAACTTACCTTTTTGCATCACTTTCACTCTAATTTATATTTCAATTGCTGTTGTTGTTGCCTATGTATATTATTGAGAATAGAGGTATGTGAGTACATTGAGGTTGTGCACTAATGCTGTAACCACAACTCGTATAAATTCCCTCATGGGGCACCGAACATTTGTTCAGTATTCGTCCCGAAGGACTGCTATATATGTCCCGTAGGACTACTACGTCCCGAAGGACTACAATACCCTTGACTCTTGGCATGCCAACTATACCTATAGCTCTCGTATCATATACTATGGGCATTTATTATGAATATATTTCTCATCACTTGTTCTTTCTCTTCTGTCACATACCACATGTATGTGTAACCATATATTTCATATCATATCACGTATTGCATATTCATATGTCATTTCATATATTCACATAGCTTATTTCATTTCACATTGGTCATATCTCATAGCATATATCACATATGCATATAATCATGTATATCATATCATATATCTTATGTTTCATGCTCTTATGTTTATGCATATCATGTATTCATGTACATATAAGAATTACATATCAAATAACATTTTAGGAGTCACTTCTTACCATAGTAACTCCATCATTGGCTCATCGCAAGCCAATGTTCGTTCAATAATATAAGTACAATTAAAATTGCACTCACCTTAGCCTTGTTTGATTTGAATCAATTCTAATCCCTTGATTATTCCAGAGCTTGTTTAGGCTCAATATCTACATAAATATAACATTTCAAAACAACTATCAGAAGCCTAAACTTTAAACTTGATGTTAATAACTTAAACCGGTTTAATGAATCAAATTCCATTTTTTCATTTAGGGGGGAATCGATACCCCCCAGGGGGAATCTGTTCCCGGGGAATCGATACCCCCCCAGAGGGGAATCTGTTCCCCTTACACATACTGGAATTTTCGTCCAAGAGAGGGAATCGATTCCCTTCATAGAGTATCGGTTCCCTCTACCCAGAAATTGTATTTTAACCCCGAAAATCATCAATTCTTCACTTAATTCTTCTATTTTAAACCCCTATCATGTCATTAAACTCAACTACCATTACTTAAACCAACTTATATCCATGAAAATCATCTATAACTTCAAAATCATATCCTTCATATGTAATTCAAGAATCATACTCAAATTTCAATATGTTCTAAATACCATTCTAACACTTCATATTCCTTAATTAGCATGATGACAAGTCAAATTTAACTTCAAATTCAACTTATCAACTCTTTTCCATGATTTCATATAAAAACTCGTTTTCTTAAATCTCTTATAACTTCTTCATCTTTTTGTTTTAGAACAAATTAAGCTTTCCTTAAGCTTAATTATCATCTAGTGATCATAACCCAACTTTTAAAACAACAAATAACCAAGAAAATAGAAAACTCACCTTTGCTGTGGCTTTCTCTCGTATGGAAGAACAAAGAGGAGAAGAAGAGATATTCTTCTTATCCCTTTCCCCGTATATATCCTCAACATAATACAATTTAATCATTTAATGGTTAAATGACCATTTTGCCCTTTAATTCTTTTAATAATTACTAACAATCCTTCCAGATAAATCATTGAATTATCCAATTATTCTACTTAAATCACCAAATTCTGAAGTTTTACAATTTAGTCACTAACCCGCATTTTGGGATGTTACAGATTAGCAGCCCCACAGCGCCCAAAATTGGTACTGTTTCGCTTACACGTTGTCGTAATGGTGGAAATCCTGAATCAAATATCAAGTAAAAATATGATCCATTTATTAAAAAGTTGATTAACTTGCTTCAAATTAATTAATTAAAGAAATTATTTTACTCGAATAATAGATCTAGCAAAAACATGAACTTAAAGGATTAAAATGGTAAAAACATAAATTAAAAGGTTAAAATAAAATAACATAAACTAAAATGTCAAAATCAGAAAAATACAAAGATAACTGTTTAGATTTATTTTCTCTGATCTGCAGTCGTCCACCGTAAGATTGTCCTGATTTTTCAATATGTTGTTCGTGTTGACATCGCGCAACTTTTCACTGTTCGGAATGTTGATCGGAGATCCGGATCGCCGGCAAGAGGCCAAAAATCGTCCGGATTTGTTTTCTCTGATCCGTCACCGTCCACCATCCGATCATCTTGATTTTTTAGTATGTTGTTCGTGTTGACTTCGCGCAACTTTTGACCGTTCAAAATGTTGATCGGAGTTTCAGATTGCTAGCAACAATTCGGAAGATTGCAAGAAATGTCGTTTTCTATTTTTTCTTCCTTTTCTTCTCCCTCTCACGTCTTGCTCCCCTCCACGTATGGATTCCTTGCCTTCTCCCTCTTGTATGCTCCTTACATATATATAGCATAAGAAAATAATTAGTATGAGTGGAAGAATAAAACATGGAAGAAAACATGGAGCGGTGGAATAAAACATAGAATGATGGAAAGGTTGGTGAAGGCATGAAACATGAGATGGTGGTGGATTGAGTGGATTTTTAGGTTTAGTGGGTAGGGTAATAATAATAATTATTATATTTAATAATATTTTTTCGACTCGGAACAAAACAGGTGTCTACAACGCTGAATGTTGAACGGTTCAGCATTCAGCACTAAATGGTTCCATTCAGAGCCAAACAAACAACCCCTTAGTTTTTATTACATTTATTTTTGAAAATTTATATATTCTTTAACAATTTAAGTCAGATAATAATTTATTTATAAGATGATATTATACAATTAATTGATAGCGTATAAATTTATAATCATCAAATAAATAAATTATCTAAAAATTTCATAGTGCAAATTAGATTATGATTTAAAATTTTGATTACTTTAGTTTTAAATGAAAGAGATGTTATATCATGAAATATATTCATCATATTAATCATAATTTGTCAATGAAAACTATTCACTTCATTTATTTTTGTATTAATATTATGTTTTAAATTATTACTCTTTACTTATATTGTCTCATGTGAATTGAGTGACTTTTATTAGTTAAAACCATGCCTAGTATGATAACGATGAGAGTCTATAACATGACATATAAAACATAAAACAAATAATTCTACATGTTATAAATTAGGATAAACTACACATTTAGCATCTCAACTATCGTTTATGTTATGTCTTGATCAGTCAAATGTTTTCTTTTTAAAATTATATTTAATGTTCCGTTTTGATTATTTATGTGACATCTTTATTTTTCAATGATGACTAACATTACCTTATGTTGATACATCAGTATCACTATTAATTTTTTAACGATAGATGACTAAAGTGAAATTAAAACTAAATGTTAGGTATTATTTTAATAAAAAATAGTTGGGTGACCAAAACGAGTGATAATTGTGATACTAAATGTGTAGTTTAACTTATAAATTAATATATATTGAATAATATTATTTTTTAATATTAATAAAATAGATATAATTTGATTTTTCTATATTTAAATTATTTAATTTTATTTTTAAGTTATTTTTAATTATTTCTAAATAGTAACATATATTATTTTATTGATAATTATTTAGTTAAATTATTTGTTTGTTATTATTATTGTTACTTTAAAATAAATCTTTTATTAAATATTGGAGCATATATATTTTTAATTAATGAAAGGCCTCATTGGCCCTGGAATAGGGGTTGGCCCGTAACTCACAGGCTTCGAGTGTAATCACCTAAAATCCTAAGACCGTCCAACTCCAATCCTCCTCTAACACCCTAACTTTCTCACTTATCGCTGCAAGAGGCATAAACACTGCTTCGCTCGGCGTCGCCTTCCTCATCTTCCTCTGTGCGACCATGGCGATGTCATCTTCCGAACAACCGCTGAAGAAGAGAAGGCTCTTCGATCCGCCACCGGAGACGGTGTCGCTGCCGGAGACTTACGTGGCTCTGCCAAACACTCCCCCGCCGTTGTCTCAAGAAGAAATTCTCTCGAGAAGGAAAAACAGAGACGAGATTCGAAGTGTTTACGAGAATTACAAGAGGATTAAGTCTTGTATTTCCCTGAAAGGGAAAGATGCTCGGTACATGCCTGAGCTTGAACAATCTTACCTAGCTCTAATTTCTGTTTCTAGAGGTCAGCTTTTTTTTACTTTTCTGCCTTTTCTTTTCCCTATAATTGCTGACATTGATTTTGATCCTCCATGAGTTGAAGGGGGAAAATTAATTCATGTAAACATGTTTTGTTTAGAATCAAAATGAAAAGAAAGCTATTTTTAATCTAAATGGACTAAATTCTAGTTAATGAGTAGATTTCCGAGACTTGGAGTTATGTGATCATTTGATTGGTTTGAATGGAGCTTCGTCTTTAGAATGGTTTGGATGATGCTATGAAATAGTTTTTTAGGAAATAACTTTTAGGAACATTCTTTTACTACTATGCAGGTTGTCTAAGCGTACAGCGTTTTGTGGCTGATTTTGTTCCACGATATGCCTCGTATTGTCCAGCTGCCCTTGACGCTGCTACGAAAGCCATCATCAATGTGCATAACTCTAGCTTGGAAGTTATAAGTAGGGAAGAAGATGCTGATAATGTTGCATTCCAAACTGCTAAAGCTTGCATTTTTGGTCTAGCTGATATTTGTTCGACGGCTTCTATAGAGGCACCGAGATCATTGGTTCCAAGAGGCATCTGCTCAACTGTTTTCCAGAATGTTCTTTCCTTTCTCTTAGAATCCTTCAAGGGAAAGGATTTGTTTCAAATTGTCCATAAAGATATTTGCAAAATTCTGGATTCTGATGAAATGTATTCTGAGCTAAAGCAAAAAATTTCTGATGAAGAAGAATCTTCATTGATTAAGTTATCAAAATTCCGTGCCTTGAGTCTACTCTGGATTCTGTTCCATTATCCAAAAAAATTGCTGTCTGTATGTTTTGAGCTCTTCAGGTCATCTGAAACTGAAGCTGATAAGGGGCTATATTTTCTGAGACAGGCAACAAGCAGGCTTGATGCCCTTGATGCCAATTGTGGTTTTGATGAACTAAATATAGAGCCTAAAAGTTGTACGGATCCCCTTGGAACAAGCACCAAAGGCAGTGTGCTTACCGGTGAGACACCTGGATCAGATAGTGGCAATGACGTGGAAGATGCATCTCCTGTTCTAAGGAGCTCTTTGTTGGGTCTGGTAATGCTATATAATTACTCCACCTATCAACTAAATTTAATGGAGTTTATTGGTTCACTTGTTTCCAAATTCTTTTTTGATAAAGCGTGCTTATTAACCTTTGGTGTATGAATTATTTTATCTTCATATTTTAATTTTTTCCCCCTATGTTTGTCTATTGCTCATTTCTTGTGGCATGTAATATCATTTTATGTAGGTTTTTGGTAGAAGTCCATCATTGAGAAATTGGATGCTTTTAAAGTACAAGAAATTGTGCGAGTTATCTGTATCCAAATCTGTACCAGAGATTATATATAGCTTAGAAGGGATCTTTGAGTCTTTTAGGAAAGGTATTAACATAGAAGATAGTCTAGTAGACAGTGATGAGGATGATTCTGATTCCTCGAAATTTTCTGGTCAGACAAACTTGATCACTAGAAGCTCTAATCAACATGAAATCTTGAGTGACCAATCTGGAAGAGGTAAATCTAGCAATAAGAGTTGTGTTGAAAATTTATCAGGTCAATATCTGAATCCTCACACTGTTCCCCCAGAAACTAATCTCCACTTAAATGCTAGTTCTAGTCATGATAGTGGAGGTTTGAGGTCCATGGACTATGAAAGGCATGACCATGGGGATTTGTCCACTAGCAGGTCTTCTGTTCTGAGGGACCCATCAAGCCATCAGTTACTTTCACCTGCTACCGGAACACCACGGGACTTCAGGAGTACTTCCTTTGAAGGTAGAAATCACTTGAAGAATGCTGACATGAGTCAAGTTTCAAATTCTGGTGATGCTTCAGCCTTGAGATCTGCGAGCGGAGGCGTAAGCAATGCTTTGGCATCACCCAGTAATCGTTATGCAGCATCTTGTCAAAGTGTTTGGTATTTTGATAGTGATCCTGCTAGCATGGGTATTTTCTCAGCTTCTCCGCAGCTATGGTTGGGATCTTTAGGGGCTGATGCATCTGAGGGTTACATAAGGTTTGAGCTAGAGCGGTTTGGTCCCATTGAGCAATTTTACTTCTTTCCAGTTAAAGGTTTTGCTTTGGTCGAGTATAGAAACATCATTGATGCTGTACGAGCTAGGGAGTACCTCCGTCGCTGTTTTCCTTGGCGAGTTATGTTCGTGGATGTAGGGTTGGGAACCAGGGGTTCTGTGAATGGCGTTGCCGTTGGTTCTAGTTCGCATATTTATGTTGGAAACATTTCGAGTCAATGGGAAAAGGATGAAACTCTGCATGAATCAAGGAAAGTGGTCTACAAGGGTCCTTACATGGTTATTGATCTTACTTGTGAAAGTGCATTGCTGCTGGAGTATGAAACTCCCAAAGAAGCTGCTGCTGTTATGGCACATCTTAGAGAGCATCGAAAAGAAGGAAGCAGCCATATGCTGCCATTTAATGCTGCACCACCTACTGTCTCTGTCCATGTTGACAGTGGAAGGTCTGATGCTGCTCCACCTATCCATGCTGACATAAAAAACAATACCTCAGCAAGCATGTCAAGCAGCTCAATGGAACTTGTATCTCCGAAGTTAAGGGTGGAGAATCATGGAACTCCCATATCAGGTGCACATCCATTTCAATCGAACTGGCCTCCTCCTGGTTGTACAGATATGCAAGAAGGTCCTGCTCAAGGAGGTAATGTCATATGTGCTGAGTTACTAACTATTCATAATCTGTACTGTGGGGTTCTTATCCTTGTTATTTCTTAACAATTTTGTATGTTTACTAACTGTATTTTAGGTGGTGTTCCTGTCTCTGGTACCTCCGCCCAATTATGGAACTATCAGAAACCTGAAAGTGATCTGCATTCTGCACCTGGGAGAATGCCATACATGCCTATAGCAACACAAAGTCTTGTTCCTCCTCCTCAACCACCACCACAGCTTCAGGCACCTCCATTTATGCGACCTATTTACCATCCTCCAAACAGTTCCTGGGATCCCCGAGGTTTTAATCACCAGTTCCCTCAGAATCCAATTTCACCTGGTGTAGTGCCTAATACTTTTCATGGCAATGCTGTTCCACCTCCCTTTGTCTCTGCTTCTGTGACTCCACTTTCTCAGATGCAAGGACCGCCTATGCAGCATTTTGAGCAGGGATTTTCGCATCCTGTTATCCCGCCACCTTTATCATCGATGCCACCTCCACCACCAGTTCCGCCTCTATATCTGCCACCATTACCTCAGTCATTACCACCTCTGGTTCCCCCTCCGCCTAATTCACCTCCTCCGCCTCCTCCACCTATATCAGAATCAACTGACATGGATTGTTCTGAACAGTGTATAAAGTATCAGTGGCAGGGCTCATTATGTAAGAGTGGGGCTCAATATTGCACAATTTATGCTCAGAGACTAGATTCAGATCTTTGCAAGTATTCAAATGCCAGTTCTGAACCTGCCGAGTATGAACTTTGTTCTCCTTTCCCTTTAATTTCTGACCTCATCGTGATTTTTGTCAGGAGTAGAGAATAATTTCTATTGAAACTAAGCTCTGTTGCATGTTACAGATGGCCTGCCAAACTAGACATGACCAAACGCACGGATTTCCGGCATGTGAAAACAACATTCACCAACACCCCACCACATAAAGTGCGTCAATAATGTTCCTCTTTTCAAGATTATTAATTATTGTGGAAAGAGCTGGGTTGAATATTCTCCCAATATCTTCCTTTTTTATTATTATTGTTTATGACAGATTCTTCTGGTTTTAAAATGTAATTACGGGTGATGTTTTCTGTGGTGCAGAGAGAAGTTTGTTGTCTGATCCCTTCTTCTGCAAGTGACTATAAAGGCGTAAGTCATCTTATGTTTTTAAACTTGACCCTAACTAAAACATGTCAATTTGTGTTCTTTGCACATTAGATTTCATGTTCTTGATGGTTTCTATTCTCTACTGCTACCTTTAGGCTTCAGCTTGAAGCAATCTTATGTTTCACCAAGTGCTCCCTTCTGAACAATTTATCCATGCCTAAATGTTAGAAAATAATGATCTGGCTTATTCTTGAAACTTCTCTCTCTCTCCAGTTTCAGGATTTTATTTCGTACTTGAAGCAGAGGGATTGTTCAGGAGTGATTAAGATTCCAGCAATGAAATCCATGTGGTCCAGGCTTCTTTTTATTCTTCCATACTCGCAAGAAGCATGTTCTATGCTCTCAGTTGTACCACCTAATGCATCTGATTGCCTCATTGCCCTGGTTTTGCCCAAAGAAACAAACTTTGAGTGGGCTTGAGCTTCATGGCTTACTTCTGGAGAAAACCTTGTTCCAGTCTATGGATCTTTGGGGTGGCATGATACTTGTGCATCACCTGCAGATTGGTTAGAACCCAGAAAGAAGAAGAAAATCACCACCAATAATGAAGCTGCTTATCTACATGTACAAACATCTTTTTGTCGCCTGATAGGTTATTAGTTTTGTCAGGTACATAACAGAACGAACGTTTTAGTTTTAAATTTAAGTCAATAAAAAAAAGGTCATCCGTAGTTTTGTTAGTCTCATCGGTATGTTTGTTTTGAATCCTTTATAGAGGGAATGTTTCTTGTGTTTATGTGGAAAAGGCTGAAATTATTTTACTGCTATGCAAAATTGATTTTTTTCCTTGTATTAACATGCTTTGAGTTCGGTTGGTTAATGGCAATTATAAATGAATGATCTCTTTAGTTTTCTCTGATTATTGCAAAGGGATCATAGTTGCATGCCCTGAAGTTTATTAGGTTATCCAGATGATTATTGAAGGAACTCTTCATGAAGATCTGCTGGGCTTGCACACTACTTCCCTGGAGACCAAGATCTGCCGCGCCAAGTCTGCTAGTGTGAGAGAGATGGAATGGTATTGGTCAAGGTTAAGGGAAAAGGAAACTGCTTCGGAAAGTAATTAGACAATTAAATTCGAATATAATTGGTTGTAATTTTACGGACTTGTCATGCTAGTTATTGTAATTTATAGTTATTGCAGAATTAAGTGTAATTAGAGCCTCTAATTACACTTTAATTTATATGGATGAGAGAATTGATATGATTATGTAGATAATTATATTTTTCATAGTTCGCACTAATGTATGAAATCAAAATAAGTAAATATTTTGAATATATAAACTGTTGAATGCTAATATTAATTGTAAACATAAACTGACCACCAATAAGGTCACCTCACTTTCATGAAAGACAAATAACACCGTGAACAAAAAAGCAGCGAGTAATTCAAGACATGAATATGCCTTTAAAACAATCACATAAAGAGTACAAGAATGACATTTTATTTGTTGATTATGAAGTCATCGCCAATATAAAAAATCAAGATGGTTCCTAGTTTATCAGTTACAGAGATTTGGATTTCAATACATTGGCGTACAATGAATATAAAAAAGGCGATCAGGTGAAGTAATGTTGTTCCTGCCCTGGCTTGGCAGCAGCTTAAGAATCTTCATCACCTCCATTGACAGCATAGTGTCCAATGTTCCTACCCTGAATACACAGAAGGCATACAAGCATTCACAATGCACTTCACTAATACAGCATTTAGAAAATCAACTTCATTTGAGATACTTACCGCAGATAGCATCCGCTTCTTGTTCAATAGCTGGGTTCTTGCTTTGTTGAGAGCAGAATTTGGTGACTTGTACATTCTCTGTGTCACAGAATAGGAACAAATCAAGCATTAGTTTCATATAGGTATGGCAAAATGGATTTAGAAACACCCCACTCCGAATTCTATTTTTCGAAAAGTGGATGTGAAGAGGAACTGGGTGAAATTTCTTTCCAGACTGGGTACAGAACGGTCAGGATAAAAATGTTCATGAAGTAGGAAGTACACCAACCTTTTCACCATTGGAAATGTGTTCACCGCCTATAAGATTCCTTTTCTTTGGTGTGAACCCAAAAACATCTTGAAGGAATTGATTTTCCTGTACAAATGAAACAAAAAATTCTATCTTAATCCACTAAAAAATAAAAGACGAGCAATTTGCATCAACAGTTGTCTACTCCATTGAAAGAACACTAACCTGCATGTGTTTAGTGAAACCTCCAGCAAGGAAGCGCCTCAAAAAGTTCAACTGTTGAATTGAAAAACTGTTATAAAAAAATGATGGGTATGTAACAACCATCAGAAAATGGAGAACAAGAAGCGAAAGTGAAACCTGAATCAACTGAGACCACGATGATGTCTGCAGTGCATCCCCACCAATCTTCGTTGATGTCTCAGGACTATAACCGTCCTAACATCATCGAGATAAATACCAGTTAATTAACATGAGAAGTTCCAAGGACCGTAAGTTCACAAAGAGAAGGGCAACAATAATGGTACCTCAAGGAACTCCAATACGTCTTTAAACAAGTTCCTCTGGTTGTTAAGATCTTTCTTGGCAGAACCTTTACCAGCAGCTTCCGCAGAGAGGTCTCTGACTTGATTCAGAATTTTTCCCTTCAGTCCTTGTATATATGAGAATCCTTCTTTAGATTTATTTCCTTCAGGAACTGAACCATCACTAGAACCTTTAACTTCGGCAGCAAATTTCTCTAAGCTTCCCATCTCAAAAATTACTGCCAGTCCTTCACCAGCAGCAATGCGGACAGATCGGTCATCCTTATCTAGCAAACTAGACAAATATGCAATGGACCTGCATAAATGGCAAAGACTGATCAGTCTCTTAGCCCAATCAATTTGCCCAGCTTTGTGATTTTACTTTATAGTTCAATAGTAATATAAATCTCACAAGGTTCCTTGAACTATTTTTTAATATATATTATCCCAATAATTGGTTTAACTGAGATACATAAACTATGAGAAAGAAAAGGACAATAAAGTATGATCTATATAGTTCACTCACTCTTGCCAAAGTTTGGGACTAAGCTTCCATCCATCCGTAGTTGTCAAAAGAAATGACCAAGCAGAGACAACTGCTGTTATTACAGCGGCAGAAGGCTTCACAGAAACAACCTACAAGTCAAAAAGAACCGATCAATTCACAAATAAAAAAAAGAACCAATAAATTATCGTATATGGACCCTGATAAATTATCATATCCATTTCAATCAGTGAAAATCAGGCATATATACTTACATTAGAACCTAATTTAGGATGAACCAATTGCCACATAATTTGCATTGATTTTTCTGTTTGCTCTGGATCAGTGCCCCCAACAAACGTGATGATAGCCAAACACTCCAGTAACTAAAATAAGAAACCAGATCGAGTGAATCCACAATTGGTAGAGCATCATAATACAAACAAAATATTAGAGGTAGAATAAGATCCTATTCAATTTCTTACTCACCGAGGCTGTCTTAGAAGATTCAGAACCAGATTTAAGAGCCTGTGAAAGAGGAATTATTGATTCTTCTAATATTTCCCGAGCATTATCTCCTGGACCAACAGTTAAGGCCAGCAACCCTACCCAAGAAAAGATAACAGCTTGAATACATACTGAAGCCATGTGTTTTATTATCTGCATGAGTGCATGATCAATTGAGAAACTATTCAAGACTAACCAATGGTATGGGATGCAAAAGATATCTCTTTGCTTGACCCCTTTTTGATAGAATTCAAACATTGATGCAATAATGTAGCAAATCTGGAAAACAGCCAAAAGTAATAAAACACCATTAGAAGCACATGGATTCAAGTATCCGAATTATATATAGTGTATCATGAGAAACATTTTCACCTACACTTACCAATGCGCTTAATAGTAGAAAATCACAATCTAACAATATGGAATTTGAACAATTAAGTGCTCGGTCTCACTATAAAATGTTAATCCTAGTTCATTGCAAGCCCATTTTTAGGAACCAACTAGGATATCCAAATCAGGTCATCACAGATCAATAAAAATTCATAGAACCGTGCCCTTAATCCTCAGTGCAATTCTTCCAATAGTAAAATTCAAGCAAGATAAAATATTTAGAAAAGGGGAACTTACTTCTTCTCCACGAACTGGTGCTGCAAATTGCAATTGAAAGCCTCGATAATCTCGGCCAAGGCCTTCTCTCGTGTAGAACCCCTTCACCAACAAGAGATAAAAACGCCAATTCAGCTACAATCAACTCAGTAGCCTAATTATAAATGCATCAAATTACATGCAACAAAAGTTACCGGAAAAGTAAACTACTAATTCTAACCTCTTTTCATACAGAGCATCAACAGCTTCATCAAGTAAACTATCCTTATTAAGCTCTACTTCTTCGGTACCAGCTACCGACATTCGATCAGAAACCATGGTTGACGATGAACTTACGCTACAATTTTCATCGTCACTATCTAACATCGCCGCATTCTTACGCTGAGTTTTACCTGCCAAATTGGAAAAAAAAATCCTTCTACTTAGCAAAAAATGAAGAATGAATCTTTAACAGTTTAAACTAAAAATGAACGCCAAACACGATCCAAAACGAGTAATATAAAACTCATTATGTGAGCTTTGACAAAGCCATCAACAATCAACAGTTCTTCATATCATTTAGGGGAGACAATCAAATAACTGGGGGAAAAAGAGTAAATCAAATCATTCTAGGGGAAAAATTGCCCAAATTAAAGAGAAGAAAAAAAAAGAAATCTTACGTTTACCCATGCTGGAACGACTTATGTGCTGTTACTTTTTTATATGTCATAAACAGGTAAAAGGTTGACTAAGAATCTGATGATAAGAGGGCTTTGAAATTAAAAGTCGATCGATAAAACAAAAGTGAAGCGAAGAAGAAATCAACAAAAGATAATCGAATGAGGATGCAGCCATCAAAATTGATCTTACTCTTAAAATTTATAAAGCAAAGGGGAAAATTCTATTAATTAGAGAACCCTTCCTTTTACAAGGAAAAAGAAGACGATTACGTTTGGGAAGAGAGTCGTATTACTAAACTATTACCCTACTGGAAAAGAATTATTCAATTTGGGTGGTATGGAATATTCGGACAACCTGTAGCCAGTAGTTCGTAATCGATGACGTGGTATGGTGGCTGTCGATGACTGGATTAGAAATCCAATGGTGGGATCACGAGGCGGGAATGGCGATAGGGGAGAGAGAACGTGGAATCAGGATTAACACGTGATTCATAATGGATAGGATTCTGTATATGTAGATTTAGGTGCAACAAGTAAGCGGCTATCGTAACGCAAAGGAAGTTTGAGATTTGAGAAATTAAGCAACTAAAGAAGGGAAATTACTAAACAAGCCCAACTCGGCCTTTTGTACACTTTTATGGTAATGGACAGAAATATGGTCTTCTATACACGATGGATGTTGGAGTTCGTTGTATCCCACTGTACAATGCCATCTCTCATATGTTTTCTTCTTCTTTTGTTAATAAAATTTTAATAACCTTTAATACCTAAATTATTAGTTTAATTTCATTTTGATACCTAAACTTTCATTTATTTCAAAATTATATCTAACATTTATTTATTTTTTATTTTATTTTAATACCTCGTCGTTAAAATTTAACGGAATTGTTACAACAAGACACTTTTTATTGGTAAATTACATCATTCATCACTACTATTTTCACACTCCTATTTTGGTCACTAGAGTTTAATTTTTTTAATTTAATTACTTAACTTTTAAATTACTCATAATTTAATCACTCTAACTTACAAAGTTCATTTCTTTTAATTTAATTATACGTTAATAAAATATAATAATAAATGCCATGTCATAAAATTTATTAATAAAATAAATTAGAGTGGTTAAAGCATGAGCAAATTGAAAGTTGAGTAGTAAATTGAATTTTTTTTAAACTTTATTGACCAAAATATGAGTGAGAAGATAGTTAAGTGATGAATGGTGTAATTTACCCATAAAAATGTCACGTTCATCAATTCCATTAAGTTTTTAATGGCGGTTCCTAAAATGAAATAAAAAGTAAATATTAGGTATGATTTTAAAATAAATGGAAGTTTAGGTACTAAAACGAAACAAAATTGATAGTTTAGGCATTAAATGTGTAGCTTACCCAATTTTAAATATAGAATAAATTTTTAAAATAAAAATTAGTTATATTTTTTATATAATTAATGATATTTGATTTACTAGTTGATTGATTTAGATCAGTTATTATAAAAGTTCATTATATGAGATATTATTATAATTCAGTTTATTTTATTTACAATATTAAAATTTTAACTCTAAAATTATTTAAAAGATATAATATTTCATTCAACTAAATCAACTAACGATAAAAATATGTTTATTTTAAACAATATTCTTATCATCATTGATTAGTGTCTTAACCACTTTGATCTAACTAATATCTAATTAATTTTCTTAGTAATTGATTTTATTTTTACAAAATAATGGAAGAGACAAATCATACTCGTCTCGTCTCTACTGGTTTAGAGATTAATCATTTGTATCTGTTGCATGTATGTATGCACCAAATATCTGATAAGGACTGTGTGGTCCTCACTGAAAGCATTAAAGCTCGACTGCATCATTGGTCTACTAAATCTCTTAGTTATGCAGGTAGATTGGAATTAATCAGAGCAGTCATATTTAGCATCAACAATTACTGGTGCAGACAGTTATTTCTGCCTTACTCTGTCCTTAAGAGGGTTGAACAATTATGCTCTCGCTTTTTCTGGAAAGGAGCCGACAAAACGACTTCTGGAGCTCGAGTAGTATGGCAAAATATTTGCTCTCTGAAATCTGAGGGAGGACTTGGTATTAAAGATCTAAAGACTTGTTACAAAGCTTGTATGCTAATTCTTATCAAAAAAATTCTTGCTGGTGAAGGCTCTCTTTGGATGGCCTGGATTAATAGCTACATTCTTAAAGATAAAGATTTATGGAATGCATAAATTAGTCCTTCAACCAGTTGGAGCTTAAAGAGAATCTTCAAATTCAGGCCTGAGGCTATCTCTATTTTGTCTGCTGGTACATTAACAGTAAAGAGTATTTGGGATGCTATTCGGATAAAGAAACCCCTTGTACTTTGGCAGAAAATTATCTGGTTTCCTCTCCATATTCCAAAACATAGTTTGATTTCATGGATGGCTTTACTTGATCGACTTCCTACTAAGGATAGATTTATTCGTATGGGGCTTATCAATGAAAGCCAATGCATGTTTTGTGATGATCCTTTGGAAACTAGGGATCACTTATTCCTTCATTGTCCTATGGCTGATTACTTGTGAAATTCAATCTTCTCCCTTTTCGGTCTTCATTTTATAACTCGTTGTTGGGAATCTTTTTTTGTGTGGGCTTGCTTTACTTGGAAAGGTAAATCTTTGCTTACTACCATTCTGAAGATTGCTCTTAATGCTCTGATTTACATTCTTTGAGAAGAAAGAAACAAGAAACTATTTCAAGGTCGATCCAGAAATGCTTAAGAACTGTTTCGAATCATCAAAGACATTGTTAGCTCTCAACTTAGGGGTAGAAACTTAAATAGCATTGATATTGTTAATACTAATCTTTGTAAGCATTGGGACATTGGTTGATTTTGATTCATATTGTATGTAATTTGTCTTCTTGTAAAACAGATCTATGATTTAACAGGTTGTGCTATTGGGTAATAAAAATATATTTATCCAAAAAAAATTGAGGAGTCAAACACTGCAAACTATCTTTATTGCACAAAACCTAGCTGGTGGTTACAAAGCCGGTTGTTTCCCTATTGAATCCAAATGCCCAAATATTGGAGCTGGACCAGTAAAGCCCACTGTTAGATAGAGTTTGTATTAGACTCTCTCCCTTTGGATACAGTCGGGATTGCGTTTCACCATTTACTAGGAGAATATTCCTTGTTATTTCTTTTCACTGGCACAAAAAATGACGTTTGGGTAACAGCAATTAGAGTGTCTCACCTCAACGCACCTTCATTTTTCCACTGGTTAGATAAACGTCCTCAAGTGAAAGAGCTTTTCCTTTTACACCGCCATAGCCCAGCCGCTCTTTCACTTTAAACTCATTCAATGTTCTTTTGTTCGTGGGGCCATTTCAACAAGCCGAACAAAGATTATAAAATTATTTTACTTTTATTAATTTCACTTTTCTTAATTATATTAACGTCTTCGGTTAGTTAATTCACTTTATTTAAAAGATTCAAAGTTGATTATTAAATTTAAATAAAAATATGTAATTAATGTCACCATGATCAAACTCATATCCCATCTTAGGATGCCTTGGTGCATGGGGTAATAGAGGCAGAGATATAATATTGGAGGCAAAGCAAATAGGTATGTGAGCACGCTGCCCAGAGGGTGTTTTGGGAGTGGGATAAGGTGCGACCAGTCAAAACTTTGGCAATCCCGAACTCCTCACTGACTTGACTGTCTTTGAAATACAAGGTAGGCTTCACAGGTACTTTTGTTGAAAGAGATGACATCAAAGTTTGTGTGTTTTTTGTGGGGTACAAGACTTGTTTGTCAGAAGGCACCAACCCCAATCATGCAGGCCAGGGCTCCCCCTCCTTTCCGTTTTTAGCTTTTCTTGCATTATTTTGTTTGTTAAATTTCGTCCCCAACATTCAATGCCTGGTACTCAGATCACTAGGGTTGCCAAACCTTTAACTGCTCACTTGAATTGATCTCTCCAGTTAATTCGTGCTGGATTAAGGAGATATGCTCGTTTTTACCAGTTGGATTTGCTATTATAGTTCGCAGGGGTTCATTTGGGCCCTGAGATTCAGCAGTGTGCGCTGGATGCGTCTATGTCAACTATTCATCACACAAGCAACTGCATTGGCTTAAATTTACATTAATATGATGCCTGGCTACAAACAAAAGGGTTTAATTAATTTGGCAAATTAAGGTCCCCCCCAAACATAGGGGTTGCATGGGAAAGTAAACACCATTCACCAAAAACAATGGCATACGGCACAAATGCAACTTCCCAGCAAACACTGTCTCAGCTTCAATTTGTAACCTTCCCTTCAGTCAACTTTTAAGGGAATACTGATCTGTACTACTGCTTTCCTTTTCCCAAGCAGTGTGTCAGCCCATTTTTAGCTTACTCTATGTATGAAGCAGACGGAAGTGGAGCAGGGGACTCATCTTTACGCCACGTATCATCATAGTTGGAAATCATTGAAAGATTTTTGGATATAAGATCCCAGAATCATATGACCTAGTTGTTCCATCCTTCAATATTAATGTGTTTGACCACAGCAATATTATGCCAATGCCATGAAGAATCAGACGTTTCGGTGTATGAATCATTATTATTGGATCTAAGGGCCACCTTGGACGGACGAATTTAACCATTAAAATTGACACGAGAATGGCAGATGGGAAACCCTGGTGGTAAACAGAATTAATTACAAGCACCAAGTTGCACGAAATCCAAGAGAAAATATTGGATGTTAATGGGTGTCTAAAAGTGAAGAGGTTTTATGTCATGTGTGCATGTGCCATGACTTCCATCCCTCCATTTTATTAGGCTAAGATAATGTATAATGAACTGCAGAGTTTTAATTTGTTTTAGATTACATGGTGTGGAGAGTTTTAACTAGTTTGCTCTGTAGAATGATACAAATGACTTCAGTTGAAAGGATCAGTTATACATTGTCAATATTCACTCTGCATATCATAGATTGAAATTTAAAAGAGTTAGAATTGATAGTCTGACATTGGGTTTGTCATAATTGTTTAAATTTTAAATCTCATACGATTTATTTTTTATTAAATTCTTTTTAAAGAAAAATGACATCATGAGAAAAATGTTAAATCACCGTCATTTTAAGAAATTTGAGTATCGGAGAATTACATTCGCATCATATTTATATTTTTAGAAAAACAGTTTATTTATTAAAAATAAATAAAATGATGAAGAATAAATGAAGCGAAGTGAAAAAAAAATTAAATGAAAAAAATAGTACGATGAAGGGTTTGACAACTACTCTTATACCATTGGCAGTAAAGACATTATTTTTAAATAAAAATAAATAATTATAAGATGTATATTATTTTCAGATAAGTATAGATTTTATATTTTAAGTAAACATTTGCAAATTACTATCTAATTAGATGATATCATATAATTATTATTTTTTATAAATTCTAAATCTAATCATAATTATAGGAAGATGGTAGAGAAAGAAGGAGAGGAAGAATGTTATTAGTTAATCTAAAATTCATGACCTAAGGTAATATGAAAGAACAAATATGAGTAGTTTGACCAATAGATCGAATTACTTGCTCATGTTTTTGTTATCAAGTTTGCTTGGGGGAATGAGAATAAATTTTTTACTTTTAATAGATATTTAACATACAATTTAATAGAGATAAAATATATCAAACGAATTTTTTTAACTATTTATCCTAAAAATTATTGATAATTTTTATTGTTAATTTAAAAACATTTAATTTTAACAAAATTATATAGTATAGTTTGCTAACTGTATTATATATTAATCATAACCTATTATTTAATATGAATTATAAATTAATTTTTCTCCCGTCACAAAGTCTTCAAAAAAACGAAGTGCGTGATATATGATATTGACAAATGCGGATGGGTCCTAAAGTTACTAACTGCACCTGACATCATTATTCCGTCGTCTCATTGGGCGGTGAATTAAACGCTATTTTAACCAGCGTAGCCAAACAACAGTTCGTCCTTTTCAGTCCGGTACTCCCGGTCAAATCTCAGTCCTCAAGAATAACAAAAGCAACCCAACATTTTATTCAAGGCGGGGAAAAAGGTTGGATTTAAAGACAACATACGATGAATATTACCCAACATTCCAAACTTCTTTTCTTTCAGTTTCTGATCGCTAAAAGAGTAAACATTTCTGCTAAATTATAGGGCTTCAATCAATTATCATTATCTTTTTTTTTGTTGATCACAATTCGAGATTGATCAAGGTGAACTGTATTTTTCGTTTATCATGCAAGTATTAGCTGCTTTTAAATTTGATATCGTTTCCTAGATTCTTTTCTGGAAAGAAAAGCAGAATCTAAAGAAATGCATTCTAAAACGGAAGGTGACGAGAATTACATTACTGGCTACGATGAAGAGTGTCTGCAGATGTTATTTTATAGAGAAATGAGCTTTGGATTTAAAAAAAGTGAATCTTTGGTGCTTTGTAACTACCTCAAATCTGCTCGTTTGGAAGCTATAACGTGGATCCTGAGAGTCGGTTATTTTACACTCTTCCTCTTACTTCATCGATTTTTTAGAATGTTTAATCAGTATTGATATTCTGGATTTGATTTTTTTATTATTACAAAAATTAATCCAGGCAAGAGCAGCATTTGGATTTCGTTTCCAAACAGCGTATTTATCTATGACTTATTTTGATCGATTCCTTTCCAGAAAATCCATTGATGTAAGTTCACATGCTTTTACATTCTCCAAGTTTTTTGGTTTCTTGTTGCTATTGTTTTTTATGGTATTGTTTTGCAGAGTGAAAAATCATGGGCAATGCAGTTATTGTCTATAGCATGCCTTTCATTGGCTGCAAAGATGGAGGAGATGGAAGTTCCTGCACTTTCAGAGTTTCAAATTGAAGGATGCAACTTCGATACTAAAACTATTCAGAGAATGGAGCTTTTAGTATTGAATACTTTGGAATGGAAAATGAGTTTAGTCACCCCATTTGCCTTTCTTCATTTTTTCATTTGGGAAATGTGCAAATCATCACCACCAGACATGAAAGTCATTACACATCTCATTTTGTTTACAATCAAAGGTAGTTGTCATTCACGCCATCAATATTTTGAATCCGTTCAGATCCTCTCTGAGTTGATTTTCCTTTCGTGTGTGTGTTTGAATATAGAGGTCAATGTAATGGAACATCGACCTTCTGTTGTTGCTGTTGCCGCTATATTGAGAGCATTGAATCAAAGATTAACAAGGAAAGCTTTGGAGTATACGATGAATTCTGTTTCTTTTTGTGGATTTCTTGAAATTGTGAGGGTTTTTTTTTAATTTGTTTTTATTTCTTTTGTCAGTTTCGGGATACTTGATTCATAGTTTTGGATTGTTCTGTCACAGGAAGGTGTGTTTACATGCTACAATTTGATGCAGAAACTAGAGATGAGAGAATTTGATATGCAAACTAGTGTAAATTTGCCAGACTTATCACCAACCAGGGCAACCGATGCCATGGTCTATTCTTCGACTTCTGCCAAAAGAAGAAGGCTTACAAAATGAGCACCTATCATCATATACCTAATGAGAAGCGGCTATCTGCTGGAAAAAATACCATAGATATTAAGATACTCAAGTATTTACTGGCGGACGGCTACTGATAAGTTGTGGTCTTTACTCTTTAATGAGTGTGTTGTTTGTATCGATTGCTTCATCGACATGGTTTCAAGTTGATCGAATGCTCAAAGAAATGGGAAACAGAGATGATAAGGAAAATAATAATAAAGACTTGGTCAGAAAAAATGTGGCCTTGAAAGCTGCTGGACAACAGTCGTTTGAAGCTTACTGATATTTTTTTCTTTTAAATAATTATTTTAATCTTTATGTCCATCTTTTTTGGCTTTTTTCAGTATGGGATTTAATATAATTTCTCTGGCTACCCTAACTTTTGATGGGATGCTTTTGTTTGTGTAGCTGGAAAGGCTGATAACAATGTGGGAGTCCTGAGAGGGACAGAATTCTGTTTATTTGATTTGATGCATCTCTGTTGCATCTTGACCTATCAAGAAAGAAAGAAAAAAAGAGTACTTTGTAAAGTTATGTGGTTGAATTTTTGCATGCAATGAAGAATTTTTTTTTGCCAAGTCTTGTACCAGTTCCATCTTTTATATAAAATGTCTTACCCTTTGATGTTACTTTATGACCAAAGATTCAAGCCAATAATTTGAATTGTTGATATATATATATATATATACTGTACATTTGAGAACTAAAAGGACGATTGTCCCCTTGATTTGACAAGCCCTTTTAGCATTCACTGTTATTCCCTAAAATTTCTGTTTCCAACAACAAAACTTGGAATGGTACCGTTTGAACTTTGAAACCAAAACGGGGTACATAACAGCGAAATTGTTCCTTCGTAGAAACCATAAATAAGATTATTTGACTGAACTTAAAGGATCCGAGGAGTTTAGGTTGGCTTTTCAGCAGGTAGTGGTGAATTATTTATTTAGTAAAAACTGACGAAGAAGTACTTGGTACTTTCTCTGGCTCTTAGTACACTGTTCCATGCGCTATCCGCCTCCTCATCAAACATCAAATCTGGAACAGTTGAAAAATCTTGGTCATTTTGGACTTACATACAGAGCTTCAACATCAAAACAGTCTGGTTGAACTGATGGTTCGTATGTATATGATCTTTATATGCCAAAATTAAACAAAAAAGCATGTATTATTGAGCTTTGGGTCTGCTGCAAAACCGATGATCAACCGTATTATACTTGGCAATGATACTGTACATTTTGTATTATTAAGTTTAAAGCTTAGCTATCTTTGCTCCCTCTATCTTTTGATGAAGACTCAAGATGTACGCTTTACCTCATTCACCAGAATAGGCCACAAGGACAAGTTTGTTTTACATTCAAGTTTGTTGCAATTTAAACAACCAATACTTCTGATTTGGTCGCTGGCGCCCAATGTTCAAATGCATGTCAATTATATATAAATCTAATTACATGATAGGTGTCCAAACATATCATTTTAGGTTTTTTTAATATTTAATATGTTAGTAATTTTAACTACCTAATCTAAATATTGTTGACTATTACACTAATTTTTAGTTATTCCCTTGATAATTAAAAAATGTAATTGGAAACCTTTAATTATACTCAAATCAATAAAATTATAAAATTCGTAAATTACTATGATTGTTCAAATACATACTCAAAAAATGTGATTGGATCGATCTTGATATTTTAAGGGCCCTAGGTAAAATAAAAGATAAGGGCCCCTAAAAAAACAACTTGGGCCCCTAGTGTATAGTGGAGCATGGGTGAGATCTTAATATGCTCAATTATAGTGCTTGGGAAAGACATGGGCAAAAGATGGGTTTTGAATAAAAAAATATGTGTAAGAAGCATGGGGTGGGGTTTGAAATAAAAAAATGGTGTTTATAGTTAAATTATGTAAAAATATTTTTTAATTATTAAACTTATAAATATTTTGAAGAACATGCCTCCTTCAAACCTGGGCCCTAAGCGGTCGCCCCCCTCGCCTACCCTCAAACTTGGGCCCTAAGCGGTCGCCCCCCTCGCCTACCCTCAGGGCCGGGCCTGAATCTAATTACATGATAGGTTTCCAAACATATCCTTTTAGCTTCTTTTTAACATCTAATTTGCCAGTCTTAAAGGAAAACTTAAGTGATTAGATAATTATATAATGATTATCATTTAATAATTTAGTGATGTTATCTTTTTCACAAGTAATTTTAATCTATCTATCTATATTTTTAATAATATTTAAATAAATGATTAAAAATATATAACAATAAAATAAAGTTATATACAAAAATTTCAATGAATATATTAAATAATTATACAAACTTACTGAAGTGATTGGTTTTAGTCTTTTATAGCATATACGACATCAAGTTAGAAATCAAAATGTATATGAAAAAAAAATCAATGCAACAAATTCACTGAATCAAGGAGAAGGCCATCTTCGATGACATGTTTCAGGTCTGTAATAAAATGATCATGAAGAAACCCAAACCCGAATGTCCCATTTATGTATTGCCAAATCCTTCCTTCTCTATGCTGAAGGCCAGCAGACCCTACCAAGGATGGAAGTATTAAGTTGCAACTTGACTTGATATGCAGAATGTGGGAAGCCATCTCGATGTCTGTCATGGTAGGCAGACTATGAACTTGATCTTCAGATGCAAATGGCTGAAGATGTATGCGATCCACATAGATATTTTCTTCTGCTGCAGAAAATGGTGACTCCATCAACGTAAGTTCTGATGTCCAGAGCACTAGAGTGTAGGAGGATGAGAAGTCCCCAATCCTTTGGCATATTATGCCCCCAATTTCATCATATTTAACCAGATAAAAATTCAAGTTCCTGCCACCAGAAATTCCCTGCAATTATAAACTGGAAGAGTCAAATCTGAGCTGAAATAAAGAACCTATCCATTCATCATTGACATGATGGGAAACATTTATCAAACACTTCAGTCAAATGCATTTGTAAATCATATTAACCAAGTGCAATTGTAAACCGAATCAGATGATATCCCACAAAAATGATGCTTATCAAACACAGAAAGAGAGTCGGAAAAAACAAGGATCAATCAGTACTAACATGACAGCATGAACTTAAAACTAGAATTAAATGAAATGCTATCAAAAGTCTAAGGCCTCCTGCACGCTCTATCACAAAAAAAAAAACCCTTAGAAGGCAGGCATTACAAGCATTCCCATTTTGCTACTAATCTTACCTAGTCAATAACTCCAAAGAAAGCTACTTTATTAGTGGACAACAATATATTTACAAACAGAAGTTGTTAACCTCAGACATAAAACACAATTTGGAAAACGAGGAGTTTTCACAACACCTTCCAAAGACCCTGCAACGACTTATCTGGAGTAGGCGAGCAATCAACAACTTTAAGGAAATGCTCAGGCTCCCATTTCCTCATCCCTTGCCTTTCCTTCTCCTTCTTCCTCTGCCTCCTGCACGCTCTATCCCCAACGGGGCTCGTTCTATTTGAAAAATACGTATACATTTCCGATACCAAACGGTCAGGTAAGCTCCCGGCACTTCCACTCTCAATAACTTCATCACTATCTTCTATCAAATTCTTTGAACTCGAACTCCTTGTCAACACATCTTTACTTTTACAACTATTCCAAAAGTTCGAATTTTCTTCAACTATAAAGTGATCCTTACCCATGAAATTAACATTGGCTGGAACCAAATTTTGGTCCAAGCAGACAAATTCCAACCACCTATCGAAATCCCCGGACGGTTTTTCAGCTTGGCCTTCTAGATCGAGAAAGTAAACGATTTGCCCATCTGAGGATATCCCCATCCACAAGAACGGTGCTTTGGTAACATGGTAGGTGCCGTTTTTGTAAGGACAAACCCTAGAACCGGAAACAAACGATGGTCCCCACTCGAAAACGATCAACCGAGGACATTGACCTGAGAGGCCGGCTCGACCGCAATGGCGCCAGAACCCGATGAGATTCTCCCACTGGGTTAGGGTCTTGTAAAGGAGCTTGTAGGTGATTTTACCGCCACCCCATCTATTGATCTGGGTCAAGGAGCCCCACCAGCGTTGGCAAAGGGTGAACCAAATCTTGGTGTCGTTTCGACATAGAGAAAGGAAGCGTTTTGAGGTGCAAGCGAAATTCGCGATCTCGGACAGGGAAAGGAAGGAGAGGATGCAAAGCTGGACGTCTTCAGGGAAGTCAGAGAAGGAAAATGAAGACTCGTTTGGGCCTTTGGGATCAGCCAATAATAGTTCAGGGACAAACAAACCTTGTATTGTCTGGAAATAATGCGAAAGTTTGGCAACGATGAGTTTGATTTGAGTAGATTCTTAGAGATAAGGGGATGATTCCAATAAAAGCTACCCACTAAACTGTTGTTTTGTCTGCAATTAAGGCAAGGAAATAAAACATTGCCACAAACAAATGCTGAAATGCGTAGTTCGGTTGGAACTTGGAAATATTTCCGTGCAGTGCAATATTATTACCTTTTGGGTTGGGCTTCGAGAATTTTGGGCCTCTCAGGCAGCACTTATTAGGAAAGTCCGAAGTTGTCTTCTTTTTCTTTTCTTTTTTGAACCAGTGAAGTTTTCTTTTTTCAATTTCATGTTTTGTTTAATAATCATTTCAAGATATTCCAGTAAATGAATCGCATTGCACTGCATTACTGAATTACACATCTGTGCTATGAAAAAAAGAAGCAATATTAATTTTCATGTAACAGTTTGATGGAAAAAAATAAAACCATACATCGATGGACTTGCATCAAGATCGTCTAAAATTCTTAAGCTCTCCCTCCATGGAAGCCGAGTTTCTCCCAGGCACACTGTCCTTGGGATCTCATCGCTTCAGCCTCCCGTTGCCGCTCCGATCAGTTCCATTGAAAACATGATCCACCAATCCTTGCAACGATTCAGGACTAACATAAAATTTTCCTGGCAACAACGTTGAGTGTGTATTCAAGAATTCACTATAAACAGGAACCACCAATTTCACTGTCGCTCCTCTTAA